GAAGGAAATCACTGTACAAAGTTCCCCAAACCAGGCCCTATCTGTAGGTGCCTCCTGCAGCCACAGCAGTTCTTTAAACAGCTGGAACACTTGCCAGATGTGGTCACAACAGTCCTGCAACGTGCAGCCACAAACCAAGACTCTGGGCTTGTCACTGCCTGTATTCTCAGCTTCCGCTTCCTTGCCATGACAACTCCTGTGTCCTCCTGGGGTTTGGTTTGGTTTGGGGGCAGTCACGTAGCTACACTGAAGTGCTGCAGAAAGGAACCACGCTGGCAACCCCGTGGGGCCTCATGTCATGCTGTTCCTCCTCTGCCATGAAGAGCCAGCCCGTGGTGTTCCTGTGGACACAGAAACACAGCCTGGAAATCTTGGTTCTGCCACTGGAAAGGGTAGGAGCAGAGGAACAATGTCAGAGCAGAGCGACCCAAAGCAGCAGGATGCCTGGAAATGCTTTTCCAGGTCACTGGGGTAAAATCCCACTTTGTAAATGTAACATCCTTCCCCACATCAGGTTGTGTGTCCCTCTGCAACACCATCCTCATGGCACTGCACGACACGGAGGGCACAGGGACAGCTCAGCCTGCTGCTCACCTGGTTACACCATGTCAAGAGAATCATTACTCTGTGTGACGAGATAATAAACCCTGACAACTTTTAAATGTTATTTTGTAATTAAGACGTCTCAAAGTCTCTTTTCTTTAAAAAGAAGTCGTGGGCAGGATTCTGTAATTTATTCCTGCCTGTAACCCAAATGTCAGCCAAGCTGTTACCTCCAAGATTGTTGGTCTGGGGGTGTCCCAGCCCCTGTGCTTCCCAAGCAGGGCAGATGCTCCCAGAGCCTTCAGCTGTGGCTCCAGGGCTTGTGGCTCTGTTTTGGAAGGGGTCTGGAGGGGCTTCTGGTGCTCCTGGGGCTGGGAGTGCCCTGGCCATGTGCTCTTCAGGCTGCCAGCCAGCCCATGTCCTGAAGGCACCCGGCAGATCCCACAGCATTCCCAGACAGGGCTGTGTATGCAGGACTGACCTTTGCAGCTCCTTGGATGTGTCCATGGTCACATGTGGCAGTCAGCCTGCAAAAATGGCCCATCCAAGGTGAGCCAAGAGGGAGCTGGATGTCCTGGGACAGGTAGAGGCCCTGTTGCTATTTCACTTTGTCCCCTTGTCAGGCAGGGAGCAGCCAGGGCAAGCTATCTGTGTGGAATCCCATATTGAAGGCTTGGGGGCTAAACCAGGAGACAAAGCAGATCCCAACACACAGGCCAGTGCCCTGTGACTGCCACCTTCCTGTCTCTGATAAAGGAAGCAGTGTCAGCAGCATCTCCAGGAATTAATCTGTGGGTTTAATCTTTGGGTTTGTTTCCTTTTGTGACAAAAGGTGGCTCCCAAACAACCAGCCTTTCTACCATGAAACCCAGAGGAAATAAGAGCAGCCCTGTAGTGTCTCTGCTCCTTTAGTTTTATCTCATAGTCCAAGTCTTGTTAAAAGCTGCCTCTAATGTCCTGAAATCCTCCCCAGGAGACCGCTGCAGGGTCAATGAATTAGCCTGATACAGTAATAACATTATTTAGGTTTCCTGTAAGAGAATACAGGCAACATAAACTATCAACCACCCAGAAATGCTGGGTGCAGAAAGCTGAGTCCCTGTGCTACTTAGCAGACTCAGTTCCAGATGCAGAGTCCTGCTCTCCTGACCCTTCAGCATTGGGAGAGCAAGTATGTGTTCCCCGGGGAAGTGCCAAGGAGCTCATTTCTTCCTCAGTTACCACATTTGTTTTGTTGTTTGCTTGGCACGGCTGTTGAAATAAAGGTTTGGATTCCCTTTGTGCAGGATGGGGCCAAAGGCTGAAATCTGTTGTTGCAAGGGATGGTGTAAGTCAGAGAAAGTGAAATTCCTCAAACCACAGCCCAGAGAGCTGCTGCAGCTGCAAAGGGCAGCTCGGGGTGCAGGCACCTCTTCACACCCTCCTCACAGCAGGGCCTCCCCTCCCCTGCTTTGCCAAATCAGCTCCTTTATCAAACCACACTGAGAATGGGCAGAACTGCAGCCCAGTTTGAACCCTGAAGCCTGGAATGTTTGGAGCTGGCTGAAACTGTATTTTCTGTATTTGTTTCAGGAGCAAGAATTGCATCAGGAACAAACCTGCATTGTTTACTGCATCCTGTTTGCTCTAACGCTCATTTCCCTCTGCTCTCAGTTGCCAGGGAAAAGAGGTGAGCAGGTTCCAGCTGTGTGAGGAGGAGTGTGGAGCAGCCCTGGAGCCTCCTGGGCTCGGAGCACTGCAATGCAGTCTCAGCCAGGAGAGCACACAGTGCCAGCTCTGCTGGCAGGGACAAAGGTTTCCTGCGGTGCAGATGTGGGAATGACACCTTCACCTGTCCCTAAGGGAAACCAAAAGTGTGTGTGTGGCACAGGAGCCAAAGTCTGGGATGCAGGAGGGAGGTGGGATGCTGCTCTGGGGTCTTGGTGCTGAACCTGTCCAGGGAACCTGTTCCTTTACAGTATTTCCTCTTCTGGGGTTTAGGTCCCTGCATGTGGGAAGGACTGGGCAGAGGGTTACATGAACCTCCCGTGGAAAGCACATGAAAGAACATTAAAAGGTGAGAGGGCAGGTCCTCATTTCAGTGGGTGGTTATTTTCTGCCTCCCAGGGCAAACGGTGGGTTCAGTGAGTTTCCCCCAGAGCTGGAGTGAGCGCAGGGATCAGGACGTACCTTCCACACCAGGGCCTGCAGAACCCCCTGCTGGCACAACCACATCTGTTCCCTCTGTGTTCCTGCTGCCTCCATCTCCTTCACAGCAAATCCAAAGTGGGTCAGGGCTGGGACAGGGACCTGAAAGGAGGAAGAAGCTGCAGCAGAGGCACGGGCAGGACACAGCTCCTGCACGGACAAGGTTTGCTCTACAGATGCAAACCTCAGGATTTTAGCACTCTAGGCCATTGGGATTCCCCAGCCAGGAACTGTCATGGCAGAGGTGAGCACTGGGATGACAGGATTCCTGGCAACTGGTTTATCTTACATCACCCACCCACACCATGCAACCCCAAATTAGAAACATGGTCTCTGGGTTTGTCACGCGGCCTCGTCTCTACAGAAACCAAACTGTCCCCAGAGCAAACCCTGCCTGTTGCTCCTGTGGGCAGCACCTGCTCTGGGCCAAGGGTTTCTCAATCCCCACCGAGGCCAAAGGGGCAGGATCCAAACCGCAAACCAGCGGTAACTGCTGCAGGGCACCCTGTGCCCAGGGGCTCCTCCACGCGCTGCCCGGGAGGCACCAGCACCACGGGACGTGATGCCACCACGGGACACGATGTCCCGCTGGCACCGCACCCTCCTTCCCACCCGCATCCGGCTCGGGGGCCTAATGACCAGCCCGGAGCAGGAGACAGGGTGCTAATTAGCGCGGGCACCGCCTGGTGCGATGGCAGGAGCCGGCGGGGTCGGTGCGGGCGGGTCACGGGCAGGGCTTGTGGGCAAAGGGTGCGGGCAAGGGTTGCGGGCAGGGATCGCGGGCAGGGATCGCGGGCAGGGC